AGGCTACCTCCGCTCGAAGCAGCTGTCGCCGCCGCCGCTGTCGCAGCCGGTGGAAGTCCCTCGAAGCCGCCGCAGCCGCAGGCCACCTCCGCTCGAAGTTGTTGCCGCCGCCGGAAGCAGCAGTCGCTGCTTTTTTTTATTGCCTCAATCTTTGATTAGCAGTATCTGAACTCACGCACTAACTCACAGCACACGCACACATCTTAACATACTCACACACACCTAGTGCGCAAGCTAGACCTACAACCTATATCTAAGGCTAAGAGAACAAGGCTAAAAGATATGACAGTGGTGACACATCCGTGCGAGGCAACTGAAATTATTTAGAGAACACTGTTCCTTGGGAGACAAGCGGTGCCGATGCTAGGCATTGAACCCGGGCGAGTGGCCTGCAAAAGAGAGATGACACAGAATACAGAGTCTTATCATATGGGTATAAATGTCTATGTAGCCCGAGACATGGCGGCTCGACACGAAGCCCGCAATTTTGGCCCGGTCCAAGCACGGCACGGCCCGATGGTCAGCGAGCCCAGGCTGGCCCGGGCCGAGGGAGCAGGCCATGCCTAGGCCGCTGCTCAGGCCCGTGGGCTGGCACGGCACGGCTCGGCCTCCCACAGGTGGCCCGGCAACGACCCGGCCTCCCCCTCCTCGGTCCTCCTCTCCTCCCCAACCCCAAGGCCCAGCGCGAAGCGGTCCAGCCTGCCCCCATGCGCTCCCCGCCTGGCCGCCTCCCCCCCTCTCATATATAAGCCGGCACGTCGCGGCGGCTCCCTCTCACCCCGAAACCTAGCTCATTCCACACCCGCCACGCCGCTCTCGTCTCGTCTCGCTCTCGCCCTCGTCGTCTCGGCTCCGTCCTCCCCGACTTCGATGAGGTGACCTCGACGATCCGCCTACCGTCGGCGAGCAGCTCCCTACTCCTCCTACCTGATCCCCTCCCTCTCCGTCTCTTTCTTCTCCCTGTCCCTATCTCCCCTCTAGATCTCGGTGATTATATGAGTTCATGTCCCCGTCTGCCCCTCCTCCGTCGCTCGCCGTCCTTCTAACCGGTGTATCGTCTTCTCTGGGTGGCCCTCGTCTTCTCCGGCACCGAGCTCCGGTTGCGCAGGTACAATCCTAACCCTAACCCTCATCTTCTTTCATTGATGAATGATGATTGATCTATTCTGATATGTTCTTTTCCTCGTCCTCCATCTCTTTGCGCAGGTCGGTAGCCGATGCGTCGTCCTCTAGCTGTGGCATAGAGCGACCAAGGCGGCCCCACGCACCGTTGAGGAACGGTGCTTGAGAGCCGTCCGCGGTTGAGGGCGCCATGGCTGGTGATGATGACGAGATCGTCTGGCCGCTCACCGGCAATGACGATCTGATCGCGGCAGGCCTGGCCCCTGAGAACGACGACACCACCCATGAGGACGCTGCAGCCTTGTTCGGTAACCATGTCGGTAGTGGCTCTGCTGCTCCGATCGATATAGACAGCGGTAGTGGTGAAGGGGCGACAACGACTAGGACCCCGGTCTGCTCCAATGACTCAACTCCATCTGTTGCTGGTACTGGTACCTCTTCTGGACCTGGTGTTGGTAAGCGTAAATCTGCTCTGTGGGCTGATTTTGATGAGATCTATGAGACTGTAAATGGTAGGTAAATCTATACTAAAGCTACCTATAAAATGTGTAAGCATACTTTGTCTGCTATATCTAATGCTGGCACTGGGCACTTGAAGAGGCACCAGAAATCCTGTAGGCAGAAAACTGATCAAGTTGCTAGGGTTCAGTCAAGGCTTGCTTACAATCCTGATGGTTCTGTGCATAACTGGAACTATAAGCCTGATGTTGCTAGATCTGAATTGTATCGCTTCATTGCTAGGTTTGATTTATCGTTAGGTATTAGTGAGACAGAGGCCTGAGAGGGTTACATTGTGCATGCTCATAACCCTAGGTTTGTTAAAGTATCTAGACAGACCACCACTAGAGATCTGAGTAAACTGTTTACTGAACGTCGTAATATGCTTAAGAATTCTGTGTTGTCTGCCGCTTTCTCTGTTGCTCTGACATTAGACATTTGGTCTAATAATGCTAAGGAGGATTACATTAGTGTTGTTGCTCATTTTGTTAGTGCTGATTGGGAGCTACAGAAAATGGTTATTGGGCTTAGGTTGATTGAGGTGAAACATACTAGTAAAAATATTGCTGAAAGAGTTGCTTGTGTTGTTGAGGAGTTTAGTCTGATTGATAAGGTTTTCTCTGTAACTCTAGACAACGCTTCTTCTAATGCTAAGGCTATAGAAACTGACACATATGTTTGCTAGTTATTTGGGTCCTGATCCTATTGATTCTTCTAAGCGTAAGTACAGTCTTGTACATCAATGTTGTGCTTGTCATATTATTAATCTGATTGTAAAATCTGATTTAAAGAGGTTCAAACCTTACACATAAGATTTTAGAACTGCAATTAACTTCTTAAATTTCTCTAATAAAAGAATTGCTATGTTTAAGAACTATTATACGGCTCAGGGTGTTAGACCTAGAAAATTTGGCTTAGATATGGATGGTAGAAGAAATGCTACATATCTTATGCTTAAACACTTGGTTCCATATAAGCATATTTTTCTATGTTCATTAATTCCAATTATAGCTCTGAATTGTTGTCTGCAAGGCATTGGTATATAGCCGAAAAGATATTCAAGTTTCAAGAACTATTTTATGACTCCACTGTTGTTCTTTCTGATGTTTATTATCCAACTAGTTCACTTATCCTACACCATCTGATAGAAATTGCTTCTCATTTATATGCAAGTGAAAAGATCAAAATTTAATTGCTGTTGTATATCCTATGAAGCTTAAATTCCTTAAATACTGGCAGCATATACCTCTGTTATATTCATTTGCATTCATTCTTGATCCTAGAGCTAAGATGAGAGATTTATTTAGAGTCATAAATTTACTTAAAGAGAGCACTGGTTGTGATTATACTTCATATTATGCTGATGTGAAAACTAAAATTTACAAGCTATTTAACAAATATGAGAGAAAGTTTGGTGCAGCTAGGAGTCAAAGGGTTGCACAGCCTGCAAGCCATACAGGTAAGAGAAAACAGGCATGGGAAAGAATCTTTGGAGGCCCTGGATTTGTTGTTGGTCCTTCCCCTGCCTATGCCCCCACTTTATCTTTATCTGCTTCTACTGCCAGTGAGCTCTTAGTTTATCTAGACAGTGGTAATGTCACTGTATATGAGGATGATTTTGATTTACTTCTCTGGTGATGTGACCACAAACTAACCTATCCAATCCTATCTATAATGGTTAGAGATATTATGTCTATTTCTGTTTCTATTGTCTCTTCGGAATCATGTTTCAGCTTGACAGGACGGATAATTGAAGAGCAGCGACGCTGCCTGTTGCCTGAAACTGTGGAGATGTTGGCCTGCATAAAGGATTGGGAGTTGAGAGAAAGCATATTACAACATGCTGTTGACAACCATGAGCTGGATGACTCCTTCAAGAATCTGTACCTCGATGAAGATGCAGATGGGGCTGCTGGTACTGCTGGTTCATCTGGGACTGGGGCTGGTTCATGTAGGGCTGGTACATCTAGGGCTGCAGGTTAATCTGTTATCTCCATTTTGTATCTGTCATCTGGGGCTGGGGCTGGTACATCTAGGGCTGCTGGTTAATCTGTTATCTCCATTTTGCATCTATCTGTGACTGTGACTGTGTGACTTGAGACCTTTGAACAATGATGAAAGACTTATTAAGAGTTGTGCTGCACTCTTTTCCCTTTTTAGGGTTTCTCACAAGGGTGGGTTTTGCCTAGAAAGGTTTTTAATGAGGCAGCATTGCACAAACAGCTCAGTTATTTAAATTCTCATGTCTCATTTGGTGGCTTTTGTTAGAATTTAGAATCTGTGACTGTGATCAGTTTGTTACTTGTGAATGTGAAATACTGAAATGTGAATGAATTGTGAAATATGATTGTGAAAATGGAGAAATGTTGGATGAGAGAAGCAGTTTGAGGTGTTTTAATGGCATCGGGCTGTGGGCTGGCACGGCCCACGGATTTGGCCGTGCTTAGCGGGCCGGCACGGCACGGATTTTGGCCCGTAGGGTCGTGCTTGGGCCGAAGGCCAGGCACGAGACCCGGAGAGGCACGGCACGGGAGGCACGATGTGCCATGCCGGCCCGACCCTGAGTCGGGCCAGCCCGTTGGCCAACTATACATATGGGTGGACCGGTGGAGGCAACCTGGGCCAGCTGTTTGCCTGTTTCTCAGGCCGGCAGTGTTTTAGCTGCGGCTAATTGAAAGCCCATATAGCCGCTATCTCGGGCTAAACGCAGCTACTAGCATCTAGCACTAAAAGTTCATTTTTCTTAGCTGTTGCCTTCTCCAGCAGTTGCTAGCCGAAGATTTAAAACCTTGATAAATACAACAATATCTAAAAACAAGGATGCACCGATATGGCAAGTGTATATATATAAATGACAAAACAGCAAATAACTTGATGAATTCAACAACATCAAAAAACAAGGATGCACCGATATGGCAAATATATATATAAAAATGACAAAACAGCAAATAACTTGATGGTAACAACAATATCTAAAAATAAGGATGCACCAATATGGCAAGTATATATATAAAAATGACAAAACAGCAAATAACTTGATGGATACAACAATATCTAAAAAACAAGGATGCACCCACAAGTATATATATAAAAATGACAAAACAACAAATAAAAATGACAAAACATAGACACATATTTTCTCTTCGAGAAGTATTGGAGAAGTATCGCTTTCAAGAGTTGGAGGGCCAAAGTTATCCGGTTTTGAAGTTCAAGGTTGAAATCCGGACTTTGACGAGAGTTCAAGGTTGTAAATTGGACTTTACCCAAAAAAGAATATACGTAGCTTTTCAATTAACCAAATTTGAATGGAAGAGAAACAAAGGGGATGAGTGTTTACACCCACTCCTCCCACTAAGCTAGACTTAGCTTATTGTACTTACTATGTTCCAACTACAGATTTTGTAGCCTCCTGCCATTGATCCCCTCCAAATAGCCTAGCCAGGCCAAAGTCTGAAATTTTAGGAGTATAGTTAGAGTCTAAAAGGATGTTGCTTGCTTTTAGGTCTCGGTGGATAATCTTGAATTGGGAATCTTCATGAAGATAATTTAAGCCTCGAGCAATTCCTTTTATTATGTTGAATCTCCTTCCCCAATCTAGCTCCTTACTTTTCTCAGGATCTAGCCATTGAAGAAGAAACCACATATCAGTTGACTGTAATACAGTGTTAAATTTCCATAGTATTTGTGTACTGAAAAATAGATGATTACAAAATAATACCAAAGAGAATGGTGTCAATGCTTCTTTTGGGCATGCATTCATACACGACGAGCTTCTCATGTTTTTGCAAACAAACACCAACAAGCCTAGCAAGATTCTTGTGCTGAAGCTTGGAAACCACAAGAAGCTCATTTTTCAGCTCTTGTATTCCTTGACCTGAACTCTGTGAGAATCTTTTCACAGCTATTTGTTGACCATCAGGAAGTACACCCTGCATAAGGGTAAACCTTTAGTTCTTTGTTGAAACCGGAAAAACTCGAAATGGAATGATATAAGTGGCACCTTATAAACTGCTCCAAAACCACCTTCACCAATCCAGTTGCTCTCAGCAAAGTTATCAGTTGCTGCACGCACTGTTGATAGATCGACAGGAAGTGAATCAATGCCTTCAATGTCCTCACATTTAGTCGAATCTGTCATAAATGTTAAAAACAGGTATATGAAGGCACATTTTAAGGCACCGAGCCATTTCTGTACTATAACCTCCTTTGAATACAGAAGTAAATTTTCTTTTGAGTAGAAACAGATAATAAATTTCAAATGTGAAGATTAGACCATGTAACTGGTTGTCCCAGCTAACAAGTTTAAAAGGCCCATCGGTTCATTCATTTTCTTGCAGTTTGTCAGTCCCAAATCGTGAAGCGACTTACATGGTGGTGCATGCTCTATTGCTGGTCTTCTTAAAAAGCAGAGACAAAACATAGCAATACCAAGCATTAAAGCAACTACAGTCAATGAAACTGCTAGAGCAATCTTCACTCCATTCCTCGTTCTTCCTGTAAATATAAGACACAGGCTTCAGACTAAAGTATGATGTATGCAGCATATCTATCAATCAGGCGTTATTTGAGCCACTCGGTAGAAAACATATTATGCGAGTGTCAAGGCTCTTTTGAATTTGAGACATACAGCCTGTTCGCTTGTTGGTTTCAGCCAATTCAAACCAGCCAGTCAACAGTGTTTTTCTCTAAAAAAAATCAGCACCAGCCAGCCCAAATCAGCACCAGCACCAACAGGACCCATAATATGAAATGCAACTCCCCTAAGCGCCCGTGGAGCCTATTCCTGATCTGTGATCGATTACTTTTACTGCGGACTCCATGGTTGCAGGCTTTTTGCAGACATGGGACCCACTCAGTCAACCCTGGTAGTGCCTGGTGTACCAAATGTGCCTGAGAATCCTGCCTCAGCTTCTCTTTCTTTCACCGAGCACTCAGGCACGCGGACATATCCCTTTGCTTTTCATTCCAGTTTTTATTCTTTTGAAATCCAGCAGTCCTCTTCTCAGCATTCAGCTCGTTGTTATCCTCTCCTCTTCTCCGCTCATGGCCAGTGGCGGACCCAGCGGGTAGTCCAGGTAGGCCTGGGACTACCCGCCGCCAGGCAGCTCGCCAAGGACTCCAGGGCCGCCCGTGGCCGACCTCCTTCCACCCCCTCCGGCCGAGGACGAGGCTGCGGCCGCGGCAATGGGAAGGGAGTCGGAGCCGATGGACGAGCCAGGGTGGCCGCAACCGCTGTGCCTGCGCCGGAGGGGTTCGGAGTTGGTAGATCAGGAGCTCGAGATGCAGTTCGTCCATGCGGTGGCGGCAGTGGATGGAGGCACTGGGGAGAGGAGAGGGTTTGGGGATGGGCGGAGCGGTTGCGGCGTGTGGTTGCGGTGCTGAGGGGGCGGGATTTATGGACGCGGAGGCGAGGGGAGGAGGAAGGGCCAGGTCGTGGAGCTCGCTGTCAATGGTGGCCGCGATTCGGTTGCGCGGGAGAGTGGGTCAGGGCGCGAGCGACTGCGTTGGGCGTAGTGCGGTGGACGGCTGGACGCGGTAGCGGGAGGGGGCTGGCTCCGCGCGGTGCTCGGTCCGCGGACTTGGTCGCGTGGGGAGGCCTCGTCGCACGGGCGCCGACGATGGCGGAGGCGACAGCGAGAGGTAGAGGAAGAGCCTGACAGGTAGGCCCGCTGGACAGTGACTGAGCGAGAGAAGGGCTTGGGCTGATTGGATCTATAGTCACTGAACTTTTTTAGATTTTATTGCAACTTTTTTAGTGAGTGAACTTTTTTAGATTTTATTGCAATTTTTTTGGTCAGCGTATTTTTTCAGATTTTATTGTATTGTGTTGAAAATTTTTTATTAGGATTACCCTCGTTTCAAATCCTGGGTTCGCCACTGCTCATGGCAGCCCTTGTCTCCTGCCCTCAGTTCCTTCTTATCCTCTCCTCTTTTTCGTTCATGGCATTCTAGGGTTCTCCATTCTTCGCAACTACTAAGATTGTTGACGAAAGCGAACGTGTCTGCAGCTATATTTATTTTAATACCCTTCATTTTGTTCTTTCGATTTGTACTGATACTAGTACTAACCCAGAGTTACCTGGTACCTAATGTTAGATGACTGGACTTGCATAACTATCTTCATAAGAGCTTTCTTTAGACTCTGAGCTTAATCTAACAAAACTACACTAGAATAAAATGCTCATAGCTTATGCTCTAAAATTAAATTCAATCGGATCAAATACTACCTCGAACATGCATGTTTGCAAATAGCTAGACCAAATATAGACAAGTTGAAGGTAGCAGTCAATTCAGTTTGCAAATAGCGAGACCAAATAAATAAAGTTAAAATGTAGCAGTCAATTCAACCATGATATGTCAGCAAATAGCAAGACAAAATACACACATGTCGTGCAAATACCACTAAGAGCTAGTGAACCAAGTGCTGCAATAGTGCAATATATAGCTTCATAGTACATCAAGTAAATCAATACTAGGCTTAATGTGGTTCGAAAATAATAGGAGTGCAAATCAGATTAAAATGTACTGCATTTGAGGGTGTAGAGGCTACAATATAACAATAAAAAAGGGGAAGAGTTAAAGTACAATAATGTAAAAGGGCACGTACTAATGTAACTGCTACTCCCTCTATTCCAAATTATAAGTCGCTTTGACGTTATGTCTAGATGCATAGCAAATTGGATGTACCAAAAAAGTTAAAGTGACTTATATTTGGAACGGAGGGAGCACAAGATACAATTAAGGGTGTAGAGGCTCCAATATAACAAGAGAACTTAAATGTTCATGGATTGAAGAAAAAAACAGACAAAATATTAAAATTCAAGCAAATCAGTGAGATAGTGAAAGTGCATCCAGCCCTTTAGTGGGTTTTGGATGATTGAATGACAACGTGATTAAAGGTCTAACCCGTTTGCTAAGTGTGGACAGGTGATAGGTTATCTCACAGGTACTTAATGAAAGCCAAAATGATATGTTGTTGTATAAACAATCTAGTTCAAGCACAAGACAACAATGCAAAATGGAATTCATGCAAAGGCTTGTTTATTGTGGGATTTCCATTTACTATGTAAAAGTAAGCTTGTGAGAATTAGTTAATGAGACACAAGGGATTGTATATGGAATGGTTTCATATTTGAAGCTTGCTAAATTGAAATGAAAAAGACAACAATACAAATGAATGGATGATTTAACACAAGAGGTGACTTGATGGCTTGAGATGGTGAAGATAGCAAGGAAAGGCTTCGAGGTACTAAGCAAGGGTGAAGGGCAAGCGACGGCTTGACGGCCGAAGAACCTAGCTAGGGTGAAGAAGAAAGTACTTGCATTTAGTTGAGGTACTAATCAAGCTACAATGGTCATATTGATGTGAAGGATCAAATCACTATTGGAGTGTTTGATAGAAGTGACTTGATACATTTGGGATTATTCAAATTTGATGAATGGAATCAAGTCACGTGCTCAAGATGGCTATGCTCAAGTGAAAAAGATCAATATCAACATGTTGGCACCCTCACTCGATGAAGATTGGAATACACGGCTTCGGTTCAAAAAGAGCAACTCAAAAGGTTTAAATTGGTTATACTTTTAAATTTAAGTAAATAGGAATGCCGTACTATTAAGAGGGATGCATCATATTGATAGATAATGTTTCATAAGTGCTCAAGCCAACCCATGTGAGTTTTGAGTATTTGAGCGACAAAAGAGCCAACTTTATTTTTGCTGGTCTGGCAATACCGGACGTGTCCGGTATTTACCCAGCAGTTGTAAAATTATTGTTCTCGGGTTGGTTCGTCGGGAGTTCCGACGTAGGTCGGGAGTTCCGACGACTCGCAATTTAAATAATTTGGAGAGTTCACTTTCCAGGTTATACCGGACGTGTCCGGTATGGACGACCAGATTCCAACGGCTAGTTTTTCAAAGCCTTGAGGGTCGGGAGTTCCGACGTAAGTCGGGAGTTCCGACGGTCGGGAGTTCCGGCATGCATCGGGAGTTCCGACACCTCACTAACTTTAACTCAGTTACATGGTTTTCAAATTTGCTGAGGATCGGGAGTTCCGACGTGAGTCGGGAGTTCCGGCGGTCGGGAGTTCCGGCATTCATCGGGAGTTCCAACGCCTCACAACTTCACTATAACTTAGTTACCGTTGGCGCAGTGTAAGTCATACCGGACGTGTCCGGTATTGCAACGGCTATAAAATGGCTAGTTTTTCAAGGGGGCTATAAATACCCCCAAGCCTTCACCTTTGGTGGCTGCTGATTCTGCTGAGATAGACACATGTTTTTGAGCCTTGCGAACTCTCCTAAACCCTCTCTTAGTGAGTGTGTGATCCAAATTGGAAACTCCCATTTCTAATTGTTTCCGCATTTAAAGGTGTTAATTTTTAGAAACGCCTATTCACCCCCCTCTAGGCGACATCCTAGGTCCTTTCAATTGGTATCAAAGCGAGGTTCTCACCTAAAGCTTTACCGCCGTGAGAAAAGGATGTCGACATCTATCGAGTTGGAGCCGGTGCTTCTCCAAAATGATGGTTCAAACTTTCTACCTTGATCAATTCATGTACTCAATGCTTTTAGACATATTTGTCCTATTGTTGAGCATATTGTGTTTGCAAGCATAC